AATGAATAAACTTTTTGGAAAAATAGCAACAATTTATTAATAAAATAACGATTTGAAGCAATTATGGACTGTAGTATAAATGAATGTAAGGCTAAACAAGCCTTTGATCACAGACCATATTAAAACTTATCCTACATTAAAAGATAACAATGATCAGCTTCTTTCACCCATTTTCAAAGTACACTCACTTATTATTCAAGTTCTCGCAGATTTATAGTATTTTCAGATGGTACTGAATCAAGTAATAGTACCTGATACTCTGTTCCTACTACATCATCTTGATAATACATTGAAGGCAATTCCTCTGTGAGCAATAAACCTTCTTCTAAATCACTTGTACCTACTACAACATCGGATGATCCGACAACCGAATCTAACACAGCACCGTTTGCTTTTAATTTCCACACGTCGGAAAAAGTTAAATCAGTTCGTGCAGATCCTTGATCTTTTTTCATATGTTGATTAGATAATTGTTTATGTGTAGTAATATTTGAAGAAGGTTCCGATGTTTTTACTATATTATTAAGAGGTGGTGGTTCTGGTTCAGGAAGAGAACGATCTGTTTTCGATGAAGTACTGAAAATAACAGCATCATAAGGTGCTACCATTATCATTTGTTCTGTAGGTTTTGATACCGAAGGAGCAGTATATAAAATGTAATCAATATTACACACAGAATCTCCAGATATTTTCCCAGTTGTTTTATCGCACTCTTCAACACGAGTACCATGTATCTTTAACATATGTGCTCTAAGCGTAGCTTTCGTAGAATACGAACGTGTACAAGATTCAACTGGACAATGATATAAAGTCTTAGATTGATCTCGTGGAGGCACTGTATCGTTTTTAATTTGATTTTCATTACTATCCTGAATTATTGTATTATTATGTTCAGTTTTTTCTTTTATTATAGATGTGTTTAGGCAAGCTACATTTATATTCAGATCTATTGACTTTCTCTTTGATTTCACAACCGGATTTACCCTGGAACATTGTATATCTTTCACTTTGCTCCGTTTTTGACTATTGATGTTATCGTGTGTATTTGTCTCTATTTCTTCTTTAACTTGATGCTTCTTTATATGAACATATAAACTACTTTTTGCAGAAAATTTCGCATTACATATACAACATTGAAAATATCTTCCTTCTTTATGCGTTAATCTATGTTCCTTAAGATGTTCTGATCTCATAAATGCTTTCCCACACGAAGGAACATCACATACAAATTTCCGTTCATTAGTGTGTTTTTTTTGATGTCTTTTTAATTTACTAGAGGAAGAAAATGCCCATTGGCAACCTTGAAATGTACAAAGATAGGGTTTACAGCCAGTGTGCGAACGTATATGTGCTTTTAGCCTACAAGGCTTATCAAATACTTTACCGCAACCTGGCCACGAGCATTTTACATCTACTTCTTTATAACTATGGCATCTTTGATGCGACGTTAAAGCATTACTACTATAATACCTTTTTCCACATCCTTCATGTTTACAAATATATGGAGCATGACTTTGATCATGAGTTTTCATATGCAGTTCCAAGGCTCTTTTCGTCTGAAATTTTTCTTGGCAGTCTGGTACTTGACATAATATTCTATTTGGGCGACTATGCAATTTTGCATGACTCCATAAATTATAAATTGTAGTAAATCGACGATTACAACCTTCTACCTCGCAAACATAATCTTTACGTTTCAAATGTGTTTCTTTATGTCTTTTGAGTTTAAATTCTGAATAAAATGCCCAAGCACATCCTTCAAAATCACACTGAAAAAAAAACAAACATAAATAAATATATTATCTCTATTTAATTAAATCTTTATTTGAGAAATTAGAAGAAAGTAAAAATAAACAAAAATTGTAAAGATTTGTGAATTTAAGATAATATGATAATGAAAATTAGATAAGATATTGAAAATTAAAGATATGTACAATTTATATACCTTGAAAGGTCTTACACCATAGTGTGCTAGTAAATGGCCTTTTAGAGCATAAAGTTTACTAAATTGTCTATTGCAATCATCACGTGGACAAAGCCATATTTTTCCATTTTCGTTCACAGATATTGGTTGTAGATTATCATCCGTAATACCTAATTCTTCTAAAGCATTAGATATCACCATTTCATGTTGATTACTAGGATTTTCTGTACTATGTTCCATTGTTCCATTCCACACAGTTGATGTTTCAATTTTTGGTAATTTTGGAAAATTTCCTGTAGCTTCTATAAGTTCAGAAGTTTTTCCTTGATAAATCTGTTCTTCAGTACCTGTATTTATAACAATTTGTGTCATATTTGAAATTTTATCTGTTGATATAGCTACAACAGCCATTGTGCTATCTTCAGTATCTACAACATCTTCTTCAGATATTTTTATTTCATTGTCTAATTTCTTTTCTATTGTTTCCGATATTTTTTTACGTTTCTTAATAATACGTGGTTCTAATTTTACCTTAGCTTTTGTTTTTAATTGTTCAATTATAGCATTTTCAGAATCACCATCAACCAGTTTTGTATCTGTCAATTCATGTATAGTATTTTCTGAATTGAGATCTTGTACATAGAGATTCGTAGTATCATTACACAAGCTATTATCTTTTTGCAATTCAATTTCTTTATTCACGTTATTTATATTATGAAAATCATCTACAACAACTTGTGTAGATTTATTTTGCAATTCTTGATTATCTGGAATCATAGCTTTCTTCATAAGCGAAGTTTGTTCAGTTTCTGTACATATTTCTTCGTCATCTCTGTTAGGGACACTTAAAGTAGGTTGAGCACTCGTTGACGGTAAAATTTCACCGGCAACCATCATATCATCGGGAGATAACGCCAATGGATCTAAATGATCCAATTGAAATTCTGGTAGTATAAAGCTATCTTTTTCATCGAGTAACTTCTCATTTTGGAGCTCATGAAGTAAAGGATCATAACCTAAATTGAGTTTCTTGTCAGACAAATCGATGTCGATTGATAATCCGTCAGGGTCCTTTTCCAGAAAAGCGTGCTGGAGTTCCTCGCCCAGGTATCGGTCGACGCCCTCCTCGACTCCAGATTTGATCGCGTCGAGGTCCATGCTCGACACGGATTCCGTCCGCGTTTTTAACCATTTCTCAATATCAGCTACAGTCTCGACATCGGCAGCTTTACCGATCACATCAACGTTCGATTCGCCTGTAACACTGTTCGTCACTTGGTTATTTTCAATCCACTCTCTTTCGTGATACTGTACACTCTCGTCGTCACTCCTCGTTATCTGTTTTTCTTTTTTATTTGTTTCCTCTCTTTTGTCCTCATCCGGTGAAGCGGGTAGCAAATTTAATTGGTTGTAACCTACCGATCCACCCACAATGCCAACCTCTCCGTGCGCCCAACCGCGAACCGAACACAAACCTCGTCGATTACGAAAGATTCGCGGGATTTGTTTTGACTTGCAAGCGGAGGGAGTTCCTTTACGAGACATTTGACTGCCCCGTAGCCAGCTCTGTAGGGGTTCACACACAGCAACAACGCCGCCATCGAAGGAAATCTTGTAGCTCATAGGCGGCCTACCGTATTGAGAATTGAATGAAATTCACAAACATAGATGGCATTATATGACTTTGTAGTTTCCCGCGATTTTCTAATTAAGAGCCTTAATACATATTATAATTATTATTATTTTTATTTATTTATAAAAATATTTATAATATAATATTTTCTTTATAATCTTTCACTAAAATTATATCATATTGAGTTTCTGTTACCTCATATTAAATAATAATTAATATTTGAATAATTAATATATAATTAATTATATGTATTAAAAATATTTTATAAAATTACGCATAGCGAGAGAATAGATTCTATAAACGAATCTTCGATAGTAATAAAATGATTCAAAATTCTTTTTCCCTCCATTGTAAAGGTTTTCGTTTGTTTAAATTCCACTGCTGCGCTGTCGCCGAGCCGTGCTTCGCGTCAAAACACTCGCGTCATGTATCAAAGTATACTATGTTTTGCAAAATTCCCGTTTTAACGAATTAGATTGTAAAACCGAGAATGTAATATCTATATTCTTTACATTAAAACATATTATAATTATAAAGAAAAAATGATGAAAATATATTCAACTGACATCCTATATTTTTTCTTTATTCATCAAGAATTAATATAAACAAGGAAAACAAATAATGAGAAAGGGACAGAAATAGAGTAAAAATATTGAAATCAGCGCCATCTTCAGAATGCCGCAAATGAAACATAAAAAAGAAGACAAAAAATAATTGAAAAAGAATAGAGAATAGAATGAGAAGAGATCGCTAGTGTCATCTCTTAAAAATATTTCTTTAAAGAATTATTTTTTAACATTTAAGAGATGGCGTTGACGATTAATTCTTATTCTATTTTATCTTTGGCACCAAAGATGGTGTTAGGAATCAATTCTCATTCTATCTTTATTTTTTTTTAACTATTTTGTATCTTTTTTTTATATGTTTCATTTTCAGCATTTTGAAGATGATTTCAATATTTTTATTCTATTTTTCCCACTATTTGCTCTATCCTTATTTTTGTCTATACTTATTTTATAAGATTTATAGTATTGCCTAATCAATTGATTAAAAGTATTAACAGAATATATATATATATTTACATTTTTATATATTATGAGATATATATGGGATATTAGTGTATTTTTATATGTATCTTCGGATCGATTCGGACAACTTTATTTATTTATCCATTATATGTTATATTATATTATATTTAATAATAATTGTAATTAAAATTTATAATAATCAAATTATATGATTTAATACTTGTTTATGATTAAAAACAATTTTCAATAATAAAATTAATTCTATAAAAAATTTGGTTTATTCAGTACTTTTTCTTTACTTTTTCGATATTACAAAATATTTCTTTTGAACATACGAATAATATTTCACATATATAATTTAATCGTGCGACGTACAATAATTTAAATCTTTATATTAACATACGTTTCCAAATTTGTTTTTGAAGTTACGTTTGGTTATTTAGTCACAGCAAAATCAATTTCAATTTCATTCAAATAGAAGGAGAACACGAATTATAATCAAACATATCTTTTTGCTTAATTTGCATTTTCAATTGCTCTATTCTAGATAATTTTTTACCCATTTCATTCGAATCGGTTTTTTTCTTATCGGACGATCCTTCTTTCTTTTGTCTAGCTCGTTCACAAATTTTCAATATTTCTGGTTTTTCCGGCACTTGTTGTTGGGAAACTTTATGAGAATGAAAATCATTATTCAATGGTCGAATAATATCTTCCGATCGAACTCCCGACAGACAATTGAATGCTTTTCTTTTTTTTTCAGCCGGCCTCATTTCATCATACGGCATTCTACACGGTTCCAAATGTTTCGGATTTTCTTTATTCTCGTTTTGCTGATTCATTACCATGCGGTTGATCGATGTCTGTATTTATAAATTGATTAATTTATTTATCGAATCGCGAACAAACAACTTTAACCTCCTATTCTCCATACAAAATTTAATCCACGAAAGTTCTTTAAAAGCGAAACTGTTATTGTTCCCTTGAATCCGTTGAAAAATTCGCTCGAAAAAAAAAAAAAAATCTATTTCCAAGTTTCGTTTAATTATCGTTGAAAAAAGAAAATAAGGAAACAAACGCTTACCAAACTGCTTGAGCTCAACATTTTGGACAATGCCGCTCTAGGCATCTTGTAGGATGGTGGAGACTTCGGTTGAGGTTCCACGCAACCTTTCGGACACGATTTTATCGTTTCTGTATACAAAAAGACATCCCCACATGTCAATTCGTATCGTGAATCCTGCAACCTCGGATCGCATATCCTTTTATTTCTCTTCTCCTTGAGCGCTAGTTTACAAGTACACGGATCAGGCCAAAACCTCTTTGGATTTGGCCCAAAGATCGTCTCCCACAACGTGTACTTCTCTTCCACCGGTTTCTCCTCCTCCTTGCAATTATCCGGCTTCTTTTTCGGCTCTGGCCTCTTTTTAAACGTGAAAAATTTTCTCTTCTTCTTTTTCATTTCCTCAAATTCGATACACTTCGACTCGCAACCCTTGCAAACGAGATCTATGCGAGGTGGCGAAGGCAATCCGCAGTTACCGCTACCATATTCGACCATATTCGATTTCTTCTTCCAAAACCAGAAAGATCGGGCATCTACGTTGGGCCCGATACATGTTATCATACCACTTCTGAGCAATATTGAGGGATTATAGCTTTCCTGAGAATAGTAACTCTTTTATGCATTAAATATGCGTTATAAAAAAAAATATGAGTTTAATTTTTTTCTTTTTTTTTTTTTTTTTTTTTTCGACCTGACAAAAATTTACCCCAAGAAAAAAAAAAGAAAAAAATTAAACTCATATTTTTTTTTATAACGCATATTTAATGCATAAAAGCGTTACTATTCTCAGGAAAGCTATAATCCCTCAATATTGCTCCGAAGTGGTATGATAACATGTATCGGGCCCAACGTAGATGCCCGACCCTCCTCAAAAAAAAAAAAAACAATCAACAAAAATTTTTATCTATACTTTACTATATCTTGGCATAAATTTGTATCAGTCTCAAAAAAAAAAAAAACAATCAACAAAAATTTTTATCTATACTTTACTATATCTTGGCATAAATTTGTATCAGTCTCAAAAAAAAAAAAAACAATCAACAAAAATTTTTATCTATACTTTACTATATCTTGGCATAAATTTGTATCAGTCTCAAAAAAAAAAAAAAAAAGAAAAAGGAAAAAAAAAAAAAAAAATAATTTTTATTTTTTTTTTTTTTTTTTTTTATGTACTCGAAAAAAGGATCTATCCTATTTCGAAAACTATTATTTTATCTATCCTTTCCCTTTAAATTAAAATCTACATATTATGTGTATCTTGGTTGAAAAAAAATTTCTTTCGGAAGGGTTAAACGAAAAATTCGTCCAGCTTGTCGAGATAACCTATCCCTTTCTAATAACTGATTATTTCACCGATTATTGTTCCGTTGTTATTGAAAACAATACCTTTATGAATTTTACACCGGAAATTTGGAATTTGGGTCTGAAGGATGCCATGATGAGGTAAATTTTTTTTTTTTGTGGACGAAAATCGTCCTTTTTATTATCGTGAGTTTACATTGGAAATTTGGTCCTTCAATATGAATGAAACTGTTTCAAAATGAAACAACGAAATATCGATTACGGCCCTCCTATTTCATAATTTGTCCATCGATATTTACGTTCTAATTACAAATTTTTAAAACTTCTTTCCACTCTCTCTTCCTCCTTCTCCTCCTCCTCATCCAAATTTCGATCTTTTCCCTTATCATCTACTAATACTCGTCGATCAATAATCAATTCGATCGATCCCATTATTATTCAAACTCGATACTCCCTCGATTATTTAAATTAAAATTCCTCCTATGGTAATTCGAATTCAACGAATTTGAAAATCGCACGATCGTGGAAAGAGAGAGAGAAAGAGAGAGAAAGACAGGGAGGAACGATTCGAACCAAGTTCCCCGCTATTCGATTTCCTTTGATCACCCACCGTTTCCGGCCTCCTCCTGTTCAAACCTTCGACTAACCTCAGCCACTGTTAATTTCGGAGGAAACATCGGAATTACCGATGTTACTCAGCCAGTCTGAGCGAATCGATGAAACGAGAAACGTTCCGGAAACGTCGATATCGCGCGCGATCCGCGCTATGGATGCGCTCCTGCCCGTGGAAAACGAGCGGCGGGAAGTGAGCGCATGGGGGAGGCGAAGAGGAGGTTGGAAACTTGGAGAAGACACGAAGAAGAGATTTCGAAGCGTTTCAGATTGATTCGGTTTAAACCGAATTCTCTGGTTTTGCTTACAGTATGCCTCATAAGTGGTGTGTGAGTTGCACACACACTGTATTCACACTGTATTCCATGATTCCATGGTTTATCGTTTATTGAGAGAGAGAGAGAGAAGTGTGATTTTCGCGCCAAAATCACGAGATCCGTCAAACTTTCACAAATTATCGGGCCATTATCGATCATTAATAATAATAATAATAATAATAATCGTTTATAATAAGTTTATAATAAGTTTTTCAGATGCGTGTTTATTTCTTACGTGTGTGGTTATTGATTATTTTTTTTTTTTTTTTAAGAAATTATAATTTTTAAATATAGATTAATTTAGATTAATTTATTCGTGTAGGAAATTAGAAACAGATATTTTTATGTAAATTCAATTAGAAATTTGTACTTGGAAATTAGTGAAACTATATATAATATTAGTTTCAATATAAAACGAAAAATAAAGAGTCAAATATTCGAAAATTGATCAAATAAAAATTTAATCAATTTTATTATTGAGAATCGAACTCACTTTTTAAAATTGAAATTTTATATTATTCTTAATATAAAACTGAAAAATAACGAATAAAGATACGAATCGAACGTTTATATGATATTATTTTTCAAACCTATTTTCAACTTTAATCAAATCTTCGATCAATCGACGAATTCAACAATAACAATCAACCATTCTCACTTTAAGTTTTAGCATAACATTATTCTTAATGTTAAGACGACCATACATACTTCGAATAACTTATATAATATTACAAAACTTAATACAAAACTGAAAAAGACAAAAATAGATCTATCTTGATTATCATCAAGAACCGTTCTCTCTTTTTTAACGAAATTTCACACAACGTTCTCTAATGTTATAAACCATAACCATATATACTTCAAATATTAAACCGAATGAAACTTGTACAGCATTAATAATTATAACAAACTGAAAAAGAGATAAAGGTGATCAGATATGCTCGAAAAGAACGAAACGGTGGAACCGATCGTCGAATCAACACCCTGGCCAACACCATAAAAACGCAACGATCAACCCTTGACCATCACCTAGAATCGGTCCACCACCTCTAACCAACCACCTCTTCCTAACGTATCACCCCCGCGGCTGAACGACGCTGTAGACGTTGCACGCAGCCCACCGCCACTCCATCCCCTCCTCCGCGCGAGGAGGGTATATCCCCCAACCGGCGATTTTCCGGCGGCGAGTCGCGGTGAGGAAGGGTGTTTACTCAAGACACGACAATTCATTACGTAATTGAATTGAATGAGGCCCCTCTCTCTCTCTCTCTCTCTCTCTCTCCTTTCTGCTTTCTCCATTTCCCCACCTTGCTTGCGCATCCCTCCCTGTCTAGCCAAGGGATAACGGGCACGGCACGTGTAGTGTAGAAACGACCGTGGTTGCGCGTGTGCGGGTCTATTTGGCCAGGCAGAAGAGAGAGAGAGAGAGAGAGAGAGAGAGAGAGAGAGAGAGAGAGAGA